TTATGTGGTTCACTTCCATATCTAAGTTATTGTTAGCTATTGTGGTGCAGGAATGGCTTCCAGCAGTATTTCCAATGCTCCTTTGCTGACTCAACCAATATCTGACAGACAAGTGCAATGCTGGAAGTCGCATTGTGATTTGACTGTAACTTATTGCACTTGGCATTGGAAGTCTGTAGGTAATCACATAGAAAAAGTTATCAAAAGTATGACGCCAGAAGCCAGCCTGTGGAAAATTCTGCCAATCATCAGTTATGTAAAAATCTGAGCAGAGGATTTAATTCTCAAAGACGCCTGGTCAAAATGGAAGTTATGTCCTGTCAAGAATATACACGATAAGCAGTGTATGCAATTATAAGCCCAATTATAAACCCAGTAGTTTTTATTTTTGAGGTAAATCACACAAAATAGCTTTTATCAGAAATCCTGTGATTGCAGGACACAAACCAGTGCCCGGTTCACAATGACTGTGTCTGTTTGCTTAGGCATGTATTTTACGCATCCCAACATGTTGGATCACATCACATCCTGAAGACAAACAGCAGCTTCAGACAAAACAGAATGAAAAAGGAATCATCAATGGTGGACAGCAACCTAAAGAAACAATCTAATGATAAAATCACCACACATATTTATAAAATAAGTACATGTATGTAGTGTAAGAATAATCATAAGTAGCTTAATACAATGATATTTAAATTTTATTTTACTTACTCCGCTACATGCCTTAATTTCAGATAGCTATGTGTATTTATTCAGAATTATTGATCATATTAAATTTCAAAAGAATTATAAAGATATGTGTAAGGTAATTAATTCATTAATAAAAGCATTATATAATTTTTCCTGGACTTTTGATGTTTGTGGTATATTTGTCAACATTTTATTCTTTTTTAATCTTTTTCTTTATGACAGACAGGGTATGTGCGGATGTTGTCACAGGGTTTGAGGGAAGCATGTCTCACACACCTCACACATGAGAACCCAACCATCATCACATTTATGAACTACAAAAGGATCAGCATTTTAAAATTAGTAACGTGAATTTTTCTCATTTCAAGTAAATAGCTGTTTACATACCCAATTTTTTATCTTTTTTTTGTTTTACTTTTTATTTCTTTTTTAATTTTTGGGTTTTTTTTTTTTTTCTATTTTCCTACACACCAATTTTTTATTCCTAACTTTGCATTCTTTTTCTTAAAGAGAGCCTCTGCCAAATTGCGTAAGCTCCTACACAATGCATAACTACTTCTGGTGATCCAGCGACAGTCACAATCACTCAAGACTGCAAATGATATTTACCAATTTGTCTGGTTACTTTGGAAGTTCTTTCAATGTCCGGCTTTAAAAGGGCAAGAATATTAAGCAAGGAGAATTGAAGCTGCTTTATGGAATACCTACATAGTTTGTTAAGTGAACATAACCTAATGTTAAAGTAGAACACTTCTCACCTCAGTTTCTCCGGAGGGTCTGATATTGTGGCTCTCAGGTACCCATGTGTGCATGAGACAGAACACTGTTAAGAGGAATCTAAAACAAAACGAACCCTGATGTTTGGGTTTAGTTTCAACATTTAAGGCCATTTATCCAAGGACTTCTTTCTCTCTTCAAGAATATAAAAGGTTTTTTTGGAGAGTAAGAAGAAAAAAGAAAGATTCTAGTGAGAAGGGTTTTGTGGAGAAGTTTTGCTGTAAGCCTGAAAGTCCTGTATCTCGAGAGAAAATAAGGGGTGAGGGGACACCTGAGCCTCCCTCAAGTTTTGAGGGCCTTCAGCATGGCCATTCTGAGAGCCTAATATGTGTCACCTGAAGTTTGAAAGACAGTGAGCCGAGAGCTGATTTCTGCCCCAGAAAATCTGCAGAGTAACAGAGAAGCTGGCCAGTTGTATTGAGGACGATGGAGCCAAAGCAAGTAGCTGCTATGTCTGGGAAATTCCCACCACCTCAAGCCCCTGCAGTGGAAGGACAAGGCAAGTTCCCTCAATGTAGGGCACAACAGAGGACCAGCGATCCTGAGGCTGTGTTAGGATCTACCAGAGAGGACCTCCTAGAAGGGGCAATGGGACTCCACGGTGTGTGGGGGTGGATCCTCTAAAATGGGAGTTGCCAGCAGAAAAAGGGGCATCAACACAGCTCCAGAGATCCCACGGAGGGGATAACCCCCAAAAGAGTGCTCAAGACAATATCAGCCTTAAACATCAGCCACATTCAGCACAAAGCCAAATAATGGCAAATAGAGCTGAGTAAGAAAATTCCCTTCTACTATTTTTGATTCCTCTCTTTATGTCCCAACCCTAGAGGCAAGTCTATTGAGGAAGAAGGAGCAGGAAAAGAAATGAAGATCAAGCCTTCCTCTCTCACTGCAGGTAGCCAGCTCACACTAAGCTGCCCAAGAAAGGGAGACCATTCAACACTAAATAAAATTTAGGGTTTTAGGTTTTTCCAGGGCTAGGTATTCTAATGTGTGTATTTAGGCTGTGTTTGTGACTTAAAATGACCACAGGACAGACTGTAAATTACCTTGGGGTGAACTGTATTCCTCCAAGGCAGGGAAAGATTGCCATATGCAATAAACTTTATAGGATCAATAAGAACAAAAGTCAAGTTATGTTTTTATCACATTCCACATGTCAAATTTGTTACATTAAGAAGAACCTATTAGAAAGCTATAAATAAAATGTTAATAATGGTATTGTTCTGATACCATTTTCTGATCCTTTTTCATTGGGCTTTAGTGGAATCCATATTCCTAGGTGGCCAGATTCATGTCTCTGTCTTGATATTAATCTGAATCATTCATTCATGAACCCAACAAGTATTTATTGAGATCTGACAAGTTTAGCTTCCTAAGCTCTACTTTGGACATGTCCAACACCCCTACTCACGAACCTTCTGTGACTCCCTACTGTTTACAACAGACAGGAATATCAGTAGGGTAAGGCTTTACCTCACCTCCTCCCTCTCTCATTGTGTGTTCTGATACCTGCCTTAGGGGCTGGGGTGTGCCCTTACCTCCCCTTTCAAGAGCCCACCCTCAGTGCTGCTCTAAAAGCCACTGTGATGTGTCAGAGGATTCATTTAATTTGCTCTTAGTAGAGCCCCTATCCTCTGCCCACCTAAATCACTTGGATAAAAAGGGAATTGAATTATATTTCATTTAGATTCAACTTACATTTTCTTTTTTTTATTATTATTAAGCCAGGAATTTGATATCCTCTTTTGGCAGCAGCCCAGCAGTAATCACTTTAGCCCAGATCCTTTCTCTAATGCTGTATCCTGGGGAAGGAAAGCTTATGGGGATTTCATGAGTGGCCCTGGTGAAATGACAGTTTATCTATCTCCAGGGGCTCTTTAGTCTCCGCCTCTTGCACCTGGCCCTGACAGAAGGTTTGGAGGCTTTGGGGTCAAAGCAGTTCGGTTGGGAGAAGAAGGACAGGAACAGCAGTTATAAATGTCTGACTGCAGCCCACTTGTAAGAAATCTTTGCAGTTCATACAAATGAAGTGGACTGAAATGCACTATTCTAGAACAATATGCCTCCCTAGTGTCTCCCCTGCAGCCTCCATATACCCTGTTTGGGAGAGTATTAAAATGAATTTTTGGCTGGACACGGCAGCTCATGCCTGTAATCCCAGCACTTCGGAAGGCCTAGGTGGGTGGATCACTTGAAGTCAGAAGTTCAAGACCAGACTGGTCAACATAGTGAAAACCCATCTCTACTAAAATTACAAAAATTAGCTAGGCATGGTGGCATATGCCTGGAATCCCAGCTGCTGAGGAGGCTGAGGCACGAGAATACTTGAACCTGGGAGGCAGAGGTTGTGGTGAGCCAAGATCAGCCGCTGTACTCCAGCCTGGGCCACAAGAGCCAGACTCTATCTCAAAAAAAAAAAAAAAGAATTTTTGACTTAAGTGTGATTATCCTGTTGCAGCTTATTGTACATCCAAAATACAAGTATTGGAAGATAAGATTAACACTTATATTCTGTGCTCTTTTGTTATTATTATTTTTTATTCTGTTCTAGGTACTTCGTATATGTGACATCATATTATATACGTCCTTCTGTGTCACTTATTTCCCAAGCATGCTTTGACGTTTCATCCATGTTGTAGCATATATCAAAATTTTATTCCTTTTTATGGATGAATAATATTCGTGTGTGTGTGTGTGTGTGTGTTTGTGTACAAACCACATTTTGTTTATCCATTCACCTGTTGATGGACACTTGGGTTGTTTATACCTTTTGACATTTGTGAGTAACACTGCTATAAAATTTGGTGGCAAACATCTGTTCTTTACCTCTCCAAGCTCTACATTTAGATAGATAGATAGATAGATGATAGATAGATAGATAGATAGATGATAGATAGATAGATGATAGATAGATAGATAGATAGATAGATAGATAGATAGATAGATATAGGTTTCCATAGCTAGATTTCCGCTTTTGATTCTTCTGGGTATATATGTGAAGTAGAATTACTGGGTTATATGGTAGTTTTATGTTTAACCTTTTGAGAAATTGTCAAATTGTTTTCCATAGTGTCTGTACCATTCTACATTCTCACCAGTAATGTGCAGGGTTCCAATTTCTACACTTCCCCACCAACAATTGTTATTCTCCATCTTGTTTTGTCTTTTACTTACAGCCATGCTAGCAGGTGTGAGGTGGTACTCATTGTGATTTTGATTTGCATTTCCCTAATGACTAAGGATACTAATCATCTTTTTATGGGTTTATGGGCCATTTGTATATCTTCTTTGGAGAAATTTCTACTCAAGTCTTTTGCCCATTTTTGAATTGGGTTTTATTTTTGGGTTTTAGATGTTCATTATATATTCCAAATATTAATACTCTATCAGTGCTTTGCAAATATTTCCCCCCACCTAGTTGGTTGTATTTTTGCTTTTAAAGTACCCTTTGATACACACAAGAAAAATTGTATCCTTTGATTCACAAAGACTTTTGATGAAGTCCAGTTTATCCATTTTACTTTTGCTTCCTGTATTCCTGTATTTGATTTCAAACTGCATGACACATGAATTCTGTTTGAATGTCTCACAAAAAGCATCCTAGCAGTCTGGGAAACAAAGGGAGACCCCATCTTTATAAAAAATTTAAGAATTAGCTGGGTGTGTTCCCAGCTACATGCGAGTCCGAGGCAGGAGGATCAGTTGAGCCTGGGAAGCCGAGGCTGCAGTGAACTGTGCCTGCACCACTGCACACCAGCCTGAGCAACAGAGTGAGACCCTTTCTCAAAAAAAAAAAAAAAAAAAAGGGATCTTAGGCATCTTGATTTAGTTTTCTACTCTGTGTCTATCATCACATAAAGGATTGTCCAAACAGCAGAATTTGTGTGTAGTGGAGTGCTCTTTTATATGTGAAAATCTCAGACTAAATAGCTTTATTTACAATAGCCCAAAATTGTCAATAACCCAAATGTTCATCAGTAATAGAATGGATAAACAATGGAATATTGAAACAGTGGAACAATTAAAAACAATAAAAAAGAATGCAGCCCTACTTTAGGTACAAACATGGATTAATCTCATTGACAGACTGATAAGGAAAGAGGCCAGACACAAAACTACACATACAGTTTGTTTCCATTTATTATGAAGTTAGAGAGCAGGCAACACAAATCTGTGATTATAGAAGTCAGGTCTGTGGTTACCTGAAGTGGGATATTGAGAAGAGACATAAGAGAGAAAAGGAAGCCTTCTGAGCTGTTGGAAATAATCTATATCTTGATCTAGGCAGTGGCTACATGGGTGGGTGGGGGTGTGCGGTGTATGTGCGTAAATTCAAGTTTACACAGGATTTGTACACTTTACTGTTTATATATTGTACCTCAGTTTAAAGCATTTTTAAATCTCTGGCTAATGGTCAGGTTCACAGAGTTCATGCTAGTATATCATGATAGTGATTTCTCTCATCAGAATATAGTCTGCCTTCTTTGGGAAGTTTTCAAATGATAACTGAGTTTAATCAATTAGCAGCAAACAGAACTCTTTAAAAAAGTCACAGATTCTTGGAAATTTGCTTGTTCGAAGGAAGAGCTTCCCTGAGAACTAGTTAGAAGAGTAGTAAATCATTCACTTCTATATCATTGTTTATTCACAAAATAAAAATAGATTGCCTGGAAAAAATCAACAAGTAATGAAGTAGGATGCTTTGATTGCTGTAGTATTTGAAATTATATCCTGATGGTTGTGCAAAAATGAGAGTTATGCTAAGATATTTTAGATACCAGGAAAAGGGATTGAAAAGGATTATCAGCATTAAAGCAGAATTGTTTTTTCCCATTTATTTATTTTGTTGCATTTTAGGTTTTGGGGTACATGTGAAGAACATGCAAGATTGTTGCATAGGTACACACGTGGCAGTGTGATTTGCTGCCTTCCTCCCTATCACCTACCTCTGGCATCTCTCCCCTTGCTATCTCTCCCCAGCTCCCCACCCCCCACCGTCCCTCCCCTATTTCCCCCCAACTGACCCCAGTGTGTAGTGCTCCCCTCCCTGTGTCCATGTGTTCTCATTGTTCAACACCCACCTATGAGTGAGAACATGCGGTGTTTGATCTTCTGCTCTTCTGTCAGTTTGCTGAGAATGATGGTTTCCAGGTTCATCCATGTCCCTACAAAGGACACGAACTCATCGTTTTTGATGGCTGCATAATCTTCCATGGTGTATATGTGCCACATTTTACCTGTCCAGTCTATCATTGATGGGCATTTGGGTTGGTTCCAGGTATTTGCTATTGTAAACAGTGCTGCAATGAACATTCGTGTGCACGTGTCCTTATAGTAGAATGATTTATAATCCTTTGGATATATACCCAGTAATGGGATTGCTGGGTCAAATGGAAGTTCTATTTCTAGGTCCTTGAGGAATCGCCACACTGTCTTCCACAATGGTTGAACTAATTTACACTCCCACCAACAGTGTAAAAGTGTTCCTATTTCTCCACATCCTCTCCAGCATCTGTTGTCTCCAGATTTTTTAATGATTGCCATTCTAACTGGCGTGAGATATCTCAATGTAGTTTTGATTTGCATTTCTCTGATGACCAGTGATGATGAGCATTTTTTCATATGTTTGTTGGCCTCATGAATGTCTTCTTTTGTAAAGTATCTGTTCATATCCTTTGCCCACTTTTGAATGGGCTTGTTAGTTTTTTTCTTGTAAATCTGTTTTAGTTCTTTGTAAATTCTGGATATCAGCCCTTTGTCAGATGGGTAAACAGCAAAAATTTTTTCCCATTCTGTTGGTTGCCGATTAGGAAGAATCAATATCGTGAAAATGGCCATACTGCCCAAAGTAATTTACAGATTCAATGCTATCCCCATCAAGCTACCAATTACCTTCTTCACAGAACTGGAAAAAACCACCTTAAACTTCATATGGAACCAAAAGAGAGCCCGCATAGCCAAGTCAATTCTAAGCAAAAAGAACAAAGTGGGAGGCATCACACTACCGGACTTCAAACTATACTACAAGGCTACAGTAATCAAAACAGCATGGTACTGGTACCAAAACAGAGATATAGACCAATGGAACAGAACAGAGGTCTCAGAGACAACACAACATATCTACAACCATCTGATCTTTGACAAACCAGACAAAAATAAGCAATGGGGAAAGGATTCCCTGCTTAATAAATGGTGTTGGGAAAACTGGCTAGCCATGTGCAGAAAGCAGAAACTGGACCC